AGCCTTTAGCTATCTCCAACTTGGCATGTATTCTATATTCCAACATCAATGAGTATTTGGATTCTTTCTTCCATAGATCGATGAACTGATAGGCCTGAAGAATACAATTTCGTACATAATTATTACGACGTCGAGCCAAAACAGTGTTTCTAATGTATTTAGTTGAATGCTAGTGGGGTCTATATATATATAATACGCATACTTTATAAAACATAAATTAACCTAATTTTCTTATAAACAAATTAAATAACATTAATTAAATGAAATATATTTAATGATATAGGCGTATTTGCTACCATCAACCGTAACCCCTGTCTCTTATACACATCTAGATGTGTATAAGAGACAGATATAATACTGTACACTGCATGCATTTAAATCGCAGCTACTTTCTTATCTGAGATTAATCAGTGGACCTTTCAGTAGTAGGCGTATCATAGAAGAGAATCACTAATGGGCATTGACCTCCGAAGTACTGTAGAAGTACAGAAATAATAGAGGGTTTTTTTTTGTGGATGAAATATGGGTATATAGAACGACTAGGAAAAAGGTGTGATATCGAAATTCCAAAAAAGGGAAAAATGTTATATAGATATCCTGTTTTCTTTCCTGTATTTTTCATGTAAAACCGGATTTAAACTTTCAAAGGGTTTCTACAATGTGTATTTAGGCTTCATCAATACGGTATTGCGAATGCATCAATAGTCAATCAGTCAATTGATTGAATAACACTTTTGTATCATCGGCACACCTTTTTAGTGTAACCTTACAATGACTAGATAATAATTAATTGATATAGAGAAAACACAAAAAAGAGAAAACACACAGAAAAAAAATATTTTCTCTCTTATAAAGTTTAATGAAAATAACCTGATGGAAAAAAAATCAATAGGAAAACTAGGAGGAACAATGCATCAAACAAATGGAGGGGGGGGAATAGCCTGGGCCGGGAATAACTCTCCAGGTAGAAAAAAAATCAGTGGGGAAAATTAGCATGTGGCAAGTAGCTACCGTAATAGTGCTATATTACACATCTAGATGTGTATAAGAGACAGCCTCAAGCCACCTCAATTTTGAGTCTACTAAATTTAAAAATCTTCCCAGGCTTTTGCAGATAGCCAGAACTAACTTAATATTTGGAGTTTTTTGATAGCAGATTCTTTTTTTTTTAGAATTCTTTGAGTTAACCCGACTCAAAGACAATCTTGCGTACAAAAAAAAACATGCATATCCATCTTCTATACACAATTAAAAATCAAAATTTAAAAGTAGATAGATATTTAGAAAACAAGAACAAACAAAAAAATTCTTCCATATTACAGAAACTTCTTTGTTGAAAGTAATACAGAAACAAATTCTTTTGTATTTAAAATATTTAAAAAAAAATTAATTAAGAAACATTAGAACATTCAAGATTAAATAGGCCTACATTAAAAATAACAAGCTTCTTTTCTTTTGATATTTGGTAGTTAATATATATATATTTTTTAGGAATTTCGTTGTCTTTATTTATAATGAGAAAATTATTTATCAAAATATTTAATTCAATTTGTTTTTATTTTTGGATAGCTTCATGGATAATCAACATTGTGACAATGAACGC